TATGCTAGTAATCTTGTGAATTGGGACTACACAAAAAAATTGGGCCTGTAAGAAAAACACACCAAACCATGAATTCAAGCAGCCAAGCTTCATAGTTTTTGCCCTGAATCTGGGGTCGTACTCTCTATTAGGGGAGCGTCTTAGATACTGACGGGACCCTTTACCGCCGTATAGAATAACTTTCGACACGTCTGTCCACAAGATGTTGCGCCATTTCTCAATCGGCAAATTCTCAATCGGTCGTTTGGCAAATTTAAGACAACTTGCTATATGTTTTTTTTAATAACGGTACTTATCGAGGACTGCGGACATATAAATTATGTTCATGTAGAAGTCTTCTCACTGTATGAACACCGTAGGCCAGGTTCAATTCATTCCATATCTCCATAGCTGACATTCTAGGTCGAGTCTTGGCACATCTTACAACTATTGGTGTAATTCTCGGAAATAATCCATATTTTGCCCCTTTTTCGTCTTTTTTTTTATAAATAATTGCATTGTGAGTCGTTGTGGCTTAACACCCTACAAATCTTTCCACTCCCTTGTGGGATTCTCGTCTTTCGTCACTGCAGTGCTKCCCGCGGCCCAAAAAAAGTGCAGTCATATTTTTTTGCTTTTTGCATTGAATAATTAATAAAATATCTGGAAACTTACTTTTTGTTTGATAAAATTAAATTTTTTTATTAAAAATTATCTGTTTGCAATCATCTCATCGTTCACTACTATTCTWTTGCTCGCTCATAAAAACAGATATCCCAATAAAATTGGCTTTAAAAAAGTAACGGTAAGTAATTCACACTTATTRTTGTATGTAACAGGACCGTTATACTTCAGAGAATATAACTAAAATACTGATCGACGGCAATATCATAAAAGAAGCAAAATTTAAGGCAAAACTCTCTTGGCCAATAGGCACTACTATTTCAATGCTCGCAACTGTATATCGAAATTTCGGATAGACGTAGCTGCGTTAKGACAAATAATTAACTTCAATTCATATAATTTTATAGTATTTTTTTTTTTTTGTAAAATCGGTTGTATTAAATAGATAACGGTACCAAACAATTGTACTCCATACGAATTCTTACCGAGTATTTTAAATATCTTAACCAAGCTAAATGTGAAATTCACAAATTTCTAGAAGCKCCAAGTTAAAGATTAAAATATATTTTTGAAATAATGTTCTCGAAGGCTCTGGCTTCATAATGATCTCAGCTGTAGAATTAAAAATAAGCTTTTAAAAGGCACCATATGGTCAAAAGAAAATCACTGTAGCAGTAATATTGTTAATAACTCACTAATATATTATCGTTTAATATATAATTCGTTTCGTATATAACTAACAGCATTTTAACTTATGTATTTTCGCGTCTTTGCTTAACGTAAAATGAAAAAATACCGGTGATAAGACTGAATAATGTAATTCCACATGTTTGCCCTGACTTCGAAGCCAACAACAAATGTGCAAAAACAAASCAACAAGCAAGGAGGCCATGACGAATTTTTGGTTAGAATTTATTTAGTTGTATTTGTAAAAGCAAAACAAAAATATTAACTTAACCTTAAAACCTGTTAAACTAGTTAATTGGTAGGATATTCTACCTACGAGTTGAATCTTGAAGCGCCAATGCCTGAATTTAACAATGAACTGAACATGCACCATTTCACAGAAGTTTATRCACATATACATATTTGATTAACCATATTTATTGACTTTATTAAGTCCTTTGAAATATATGCATGTGCATAGAAATATTTCAGAAGGCATCTAATACTTTAGTATAAAGTCCGAAATGCAATATAAAACTTCTGCTTTTACTCCACAAGAATACCAACTTTTAATATTGAATTTTACGAAATATTTATTAAATATCACTTACCCACTAACTCAATGTGCCGTATATGTAGACTAAACTTTATAGATTTCTTAGATTTTAAACACTTTTTCGCTGCACCTACGTGCTTTCGTAATTAAAAATTTCTTTTGTAGGATCGATAATGTTTTCCTGTGCCGCGTATTCAACTTGTTTTTTGCAAGCCATCTCATCACCGTTTTCTTGCAGTCTTAAATATACACACAAAGATACAATAAGACTTTTTTAAATGCGTTATATATATTAATTTTCGCTTAAATAATTTGTTTAGTTATAATGAAGTGGCCTTTCTTTATCACTTTTTGCTTATTCACTTTTACAATTAGCAGTGAAGAGTAAAGAAAAAACTAAGGAAATATATATATATATAAATGACTTTCTAGCGCTTTTTCCATTTCAATTTCTTCAACAAACTTTTCGTAAATTTCTGAGTATTTAGCTCCGATATTTAAGATTCATGAATTCCATCTCCTATAAAAATTGTCAAAATCGTCTACTCAACCCTTAAACTCTTCCTACTGCTTACGTATTGCTCTATTTTTACATAAAAGCAAATTTTTCAATGTTTGGCGAATAATGTTTTTTCTGCACCTCTTATAGCTTTTTCATTATTTAAATGAAATAAATTTGGATTTTTTTCACTATTTCACAAACTGGCACACATAAATTTTTAGCACCGACCGTTCATGTACGTACGGTTTGCAGCTGAAGAACTTTACAATATGGCGCGCACAGTGTTGTGCGAATGCATGGCCGCCGAGCAATTCGCTAAAAAGTAGCGTGTTAACCCAGAGTTGCAATTATAGAATATTTCTCGGAATATAGAATGTAAAACAATTTTAAAATAAGTTCTAAAAATAATAAAATTCTAATAATTATTACAAAAAATTCCTCCATATATTCTGATTCTATCCTAATTTTGTATAGAACACAAATTAGCACAACAGATAAGTTATTTATGTATTCTGCTGACTAGTTAATGTGTAATTAAAAAAATGTGTATAATTACTTACGCGTTTAGTATAGATAACATCTCTTTTAGAAATATTGCGATTCTTCATCCAAATATATATATATTTCCGATATTTGTCTTAAATTTGCATTTGATTTTTAATTTTCTCACAATTTTCGTCTCGTTCTTTTCAAACACAACACCAATAAACCGAAAACACATATTATGTATTTCCATTTGACACTAACTGCAAGACAACTCCAAATGCTCCTTGATGCTAAAACTTTTCAATAAAATTGCGCTAACGCAAGTAGGGGGGAAGTGATTTTTATAATTAATGAAATTTTGAATAAACCAGAGTACAGAATAAACCTATTTGATTGACTTTTCTTGATCTGACAATTTATTGAAAGTTTAAGTACTTTTATGTCCCAGCCCACTATAATGCTAAACACAATTCCATCGGAAACAAAGTAGAATATCAAGTACTTTCAAAATATTAAGATTTTTAAAACAGAATCTTCCAGAGCTTATAACGTTGAAAATTGGCCAACGACGTTGATGCTTTTCAACTTTCTYAATGGCGTCTTATCAGTATTTCACTGAACGTACCGTGTAGGTAGTGCTATGGAAAAGCGATAACTGGCCAATAAAAAGGGCAGACGTGGAATATTTTGAACCTGTTGTTGATATGCGGCTTTTTGAGATGATTTGATAGTACTTTTCGCTAGTTTTCTTTCTACAAGCAGATTTTTATAATAAAAGCAAGTGTGATTAAATTTTAACAAAATGATTGCTAAGGCACTAATAAAAGTAGTATGTTTGTTGGTACTATGGTCAGTGGCAGAAGGATTCACTTCGCAGGAGGTGAAATGTCATGGTATTTTAATACTATGTAAGAATTAAATTACGAAATAATAATAATTTTTATTTAAAAGTTTGCAAGGCAACAGTACAGGAATTGGAGAATGCTATTTCTAAGGAAGATCCAAATAAGACAGTTGACGTCAGTGGATTTCGACTTGATGCTAGAGGAAATTCTATAAGTAAATCCGTTAAACTAATTAAATCGGAGATGTATCTGACCGAGTTAATGGAAAAGATTTGTAAGTGATGTTGCGATATTTTCGATATTAATAAACTTACTTAAAGAAATGAAAAGTTAACAAGTTTTATCAAATCGGATTGCAGGTGATAAGATGGAGGACTATGTTAAAGCTACATACAAAAGCAATGGCAAGTTTACACTTCTTAAGATGATTGTCGATGGGAAGATGAATCCGGAATCATCGCTAGTAGATTTTGTCCAAGACGGCGATTTAAATAAAAGTCTTGGCCACTATGTAAGTTATTGCCGTTGAATTACAGAACATTTAATTATTTCAATTTTATTTAGTGTTTGGAGATACTCGATGATCATGAAGAAATCATCATAAAAGCCTTGCAAGCTCCAACACTTAGCGACGAACTGGACACTCAAATTTGTGGAGCTCAGGCGAAATACTGCCCTTACAGTCCAATTCAAGAAGAGTACGACTTTGATGAAAAGGATGAATTATGATAACGATGAATTAAGTTGAATTTACTAGTTGAAATTTGTTTTTTTTTTTAATACAGCATATTTATTTTATAAAAACAAGTTGTGTTTTTCAATCATAAACTGTAATTTACATTGTTATGTTAAATGTATTTCAACATTATTTGCCTTTCACCATTGACCACATAACGACAAGCCAAGGAGCGCCCAAGCCAATGCCAAAAAATAGTGTCATAATCATAGTTATTTTGAATTTTCCAGCATTCAAGTTTATTGGAAGATTCTTTGAAAAAATGTGAAGAATTAATTTTGTAGGTTTCAGTCAACGTAAATACATACTTCGCCCGGACAACCAGGTCTGCCATGTCCGCCTTGACGTACCATCGTGGTTGAAAACTGACGTATTCTATGGGTAAGCATACCCAATCGACCAGTCATCTTTGTATGTTTTATTATGTTCAATCAAAAGTTTTGCCAATTTAYTCTGCAACGTTTATAATATTTATATAGGTTTTAGGTGTGTGTCATGAGTTTTTTTTGTCGATGACAGTTTTTAACAATTATTCCAATGTATACTTTCTTTTAACTTTGAAACTTTTTCTTCGAAGCTAGGTGGCATTAAGACAATTTTATTTAAATATGTACAGTATTTACATTTGTAAATTCCCCAAAGCTTTGTTTATYTTGGAAATGCTTGATAAATAAAATAGACAATTCCTCATGTTGTAAGATTTATTCTGACAAAATTTTTGAGGATTAAAGTGAACCAGGGAAAACTAACTTACCTATCACCTTAAGGAGGCTCCTGTGTACACATGGATGTATATTTACATTCCTAACAAGTATTGTTATTTTTTTCTTTTCTATGTAATGAGTCATTCATCCATCATGTCCGATCATTGTATTTTTACTTTAAATTCAAAAGTTTTAATATTGTTCCGTTYATTTAGAGCAGTACGCTTGCAAAATAATATTTAAAAAATTAAAGCTTTTTTTAAGACATTTGTTTTATTGGTGAAAATTGTTTCACTTTTATCTTAATCATACATAACACACTTTTAAATAGTTGGTCATAGCTTTTAAAAGTTTGCCATAATTTTTGCTTACAAAGTCGAAACTATAAGAGAAAAATAGTATCATTAAAATCAGCACTAATTAAAAAATACGGCAAACGTAATTTTATCGTAAGATCACTAACCTTAAATTTTACTTCTTCAGCAGTTGGTGTCTGACGACCAAGAACGGAGCAGCCAATCCAGAACCAAAGAAAAGTATAAAGTAAGCAGTCAACTTATAGCGGTTATTCAGACCGAAAGGCAAGTTCTGCGAAGAAAAATATCAATATAAAAATTAGATATTATGTTAACTTATGTAACAATGTGGCTATTGAAAGGGTTGTTATTTCCTCAAAGAATTATTATACCTCGCCGGGAATACCGCCATGGCTGTGGTGTCTCACCAAACTCTGGGTGATATTACGAGCCAAAAGACCTGTGCGACCCAACATTTTAATTTTAATTTGTAATAAAATTGAATTCCTTCAAATAGWGGATATGACTGCTGATTCCAACTTGACGTTAAGAACTTTACAAATACAGAAACGAATCTGACAAAAAGAAATGTCAAAATTTTCCAGAGTTGCAACTGATGAGTGTGGCGAATTCAGAAAATGTCCATTTTACAAAGCATATATTTTTATTTATTGTTAATATTTGCAAAGAATTTTATTCGAATTAAGAAACTCTTTATAAATACAAATATTATATAAGTTTAGAAAAAAATGTTAAATATTAATGTAGTGAAATTCCATGCTKACAATTATGTATCGATCAACGATCGAGAAATTAACAGCTGTTTTGTTATCAATACTATAGCGTGTGATGTAACTTTATCTATGCAATTCCATGTTGTTGGTCATTAGATTCTGATACTCTAGTGATCGTTTTAGTTTTGTATTGTTATTACCTTAAAATATTTTTTTTAAGCGTTCAATCATGATTAAGTTAGTGAAATTTTGTAGAAGCCCCTTAATACAACAAATACCTCGTTACACAGCCCGACTTTTGCATGTTGGCGATGCTGATGTTTTGTCAAGCTCAATTGATAAGAATTCTGCTGAGTTTAAGGTTTAATWAAACACGAATAACATATATATTATGTACTCTACACTAAACAATTGCAGGAAAATGTTGTGGAAATGACTACTTTGATAAGCCAGCTAAATGACATTACTCAGCAAGTTCTGACTGGTGGTGGAACTACAGCAATCGAACGCCACACTTCTCGAGGCAAACTTTTGCCCAGAGAACGCATCAATTTGTTACTAGACAAAGGTTCATCCTTTCTTGAATTAAGCACTTTGGCGGGATATGAATTGTATGGAAAAGATATTGTAAATTCAGGCGGAATTGTTACTGGAGTAGGTAGAATATGTGGGTACGTATTAGTAAAAGATGCATACTAATTTAATGAATACTTAAAAAATATACACTTAYTACAGAACTGAGTGTGTTGTTGTTGCTAATGATGCTACGGTTAAAGGAGGTACATACTATCCAATTACTGTAAAGAAGCATTTACGTGCCCAGGAGATTGCTCAAGAAAATCGTCTGCCGTGTGTCTACTTAGTGGATTCTGGTGGRGCTAACTTACCACGTCAGGCAGAAGTTTTTCCAGACAAGCTACATTTTGGACGCATTTTTTATAACCAAGCTAATATGTCGGCATTAGGTATACCTCAGATTGCAGTCGTGATGGGAAGTTGTACGGCCGGAGGCGCTTACGTACCGGCCATGGCCGATGAAAGCATTATTGTTAAAAGACAAGGTACCATATTTTTAGCTGGCCCGCCTTTAGTGAAAGCTGCTACAGGTGAAGAAGTATCAGCTGAAGACTTGGGTGGCGCAGATTTACACTGTAAAACTTCTGGTGTAACCGATCACTATGCTGTGGATGATGAACATGCACTTTATTTAGCTAGGCAAGTTGTTCGAAGTCTAAATTTGCCATCAACAAATAGCTACAACGAAAAATTGTTATATTCAAGTCAAATGGCGAATCGAACGGTCAATGCTAAAGGTCTAGAAACGATTGAAGATCCAAAATATGACCAAAATGATTTATATGGAATTGTGGGCACAACATTGACCAAAAGTTTTGATGTGCGTGAGGTCATAGCACGAATAGTGGACGGCAGTCGTTTTACAGAATTCAAAAAATTATATGGAGAGACATTAGTCTGTGGTTTTGCGAAACTTTACGGTCATACAGTTGGAATAATTGGAAACAATGGTGTACTATTTTCGGAGAGTGCTTTAAAGGGGGCACATTTTATTCAGTTATGCGCCCAACGGAACATACCATTGGTATTTTTACAGAATATTACTGGTAAGATAAATTCCAAATAATGATAACTTGTATGTCACTGTATTAAGGAAAATCTTTGGAAAGGTTTTATGGTTGGACGCGATGCTGAGGCGAATGGAATTGCAAAGAATGGTGCCAAAATGGTGACGGCTGTAGCTTGTGCAAATGTGCCTAAATTTACTGTTATTATAGGAGGATCTTACGGTGCTGGAAACTACGGAATGTGTGGTCGCGCGTATTCACCACGTTTTTTGTACATGTGGCCGAATTCCCGAATTTCCGTAATGGGTGGCACTCAGGCAGCCAATGTTTTGGCCCAGATAACGGCAGATCAACGTAAACGTGCTGGTAAAGACTTTACTGAGGAAGAGGCCAACAAGGTGAAGGCACCTATTATTGAGACATTTGAAAAAGAAGGTTCACCTTATTATAGTACTGCACGTTTATGGGATGACGGCATCATTGATCCAGCGAATACACGCCAAGTGTTAGGCCTAAGTTTAAAAGCGGCTTTGAATAACGCCAGCCAATCTACACGGTTTGGTGTATTCCGCATGTAAAATATTGAAGTGGATATGTGGACGCTTCTTGCATTTATTTTGATATACAGTTGTGTCTAGTTGTGAATAGTCTTTGAGGAAATTGTTGCATTTATTAGAGTTAGGATAAATTTTTTTAAACAATTTTTGTGAGTTTACAAGTAACTTAATGTAAAGTAGTTATATCGATTGAATATTTTTTCAAATAATATACACATATGATAAAGTAGTACTTAAAATTTGTTTAAAATATTTTTTAAAGCACGTTGAATATTTTTGCTTTACAAGTTTTAACTTTTCATGTATAATCAATTTAATTTAATTAAAATATGTTTAGGGTCAAAGACKTTGATAATTGTATCATTTGAATTCTGGTTAGACATAAGCAAAGTGTGTTTGTGCAATGAACACAAAAGATGTAATACAAATAAATGGTTTAAAAATTAGAAGTTTAAATAATTATAAAAAGTTGGACAATAAGATGGCAACACAGTRCATGTAGCGGCACACAACTTTTTGATTTGTCTGGTACATTTTCTAGTCGTTACAATAAAATATTCACCACACATATTCGTTGTGTTTGACCAATTCGAAATATCCGCTCGTTGTTGAGATTGAACGATTTTGAGTAGTTTGTTCGCATTTTCTGTGTTGATAGCACGCGTTATTTGATTCGCGTTTTGGCGTTTTAGCAGTATAAACTGCTCACATACTTACATATTAAATCAATTGATATTTCCTGCGTAAGAGAAGCTATCAAAGCAAAGACGTTGCAGAATTATAAATCGGCAAGTGTAAAAGGTAGAACGCCAAACTCGAACAATTGAAAAATTTCCAAACATTGCGTTTTAAATCAAATTTATGTTGAAAATACAGTCATTGAAATTATTGTGGAAGATTGTGTTGAAGAAGAATCAGAGAGAGAAAAGGAAGTTCAGGTTGTGAGTAAAAGTTAAGAATTTGAAAGGAGAAAAGCAAGAACTTAGCAGGAGTGGTGTGGTCTGTTGCGTGAAGTTGGAAAACGCAAGTAAGATAGAAAACTGCTAAATTCCGCTTGTAGAAGGAGGTGAGTGTATGTGTTTTAAATGTTGCGCTCGTCAAAGCGATAGATGCGTTTTGGACGAACGAATGTATTTCGGTGGATGAGCGAATGCGAAAATATAATGTGTTTTGTTGACTGAAGGGGTGTCAAATGTGAGTGTAAAAGAGAGGGCAAATGTATGGCAATTTTTCGAAGTGCAAATTTTGAAATGAAAGGAATGGGTAAAATGTAACAAGAGAAAATAAAGGATGAAGATGATGATTAATGCGTTGCACGAAGATAATGGTGATGACGATTGCAGTAAAGATATATTGCAACTTGCAAGAATACTGAATTTGAAACAAATGAATAACATTCTTTTAGAATAGTGTGTGTTGATTTATTGMGTTGTGATTTTAACACTATTTAGAATTCTTTTTTATAAGAAGTGTTACAAAAGTACTACGAAATAGGAAAAATTCCAGCATTCTTTGAAGTTTCACTTTTGCAGATAAATTAGACCACAAACGTCACAGAGTTATTTTATTAATGATTGTGTTGAATCCCTAAAAATGAGTAGGTTTTATTTTTATTTTTTTTGTTTTTCAGTAATAATTCTTATTATTTTAAGTTAAGTCCATGAGATAAGTTAATTTGAATATTAAAATTGGCCATGCACTTCAATTCAGAAGTTGATAATACTTGCGTGGCTGCTATCAACACCTGTATGTCCAAATAGCCACTCCCATGTCARAAAAATTGCTGAGTATGTAAAATGGGTAATGCAATGGTTAATTTTAAATTATTGTGAATCTAATCAAGAAATTATTGAGTCAGCAARATTACTTTTCAGTTATTTCATAAGCTTGATTATTTGGAATATATATGAATTTGCATAATTTTTAATATACAGGTGTATTACGTCATCAGTTCATGGACTAAATTCCATTCGCACATTTTATGAATATCTAGTTTGTAACTATGTATGTACATACATCGAAGTTGTTCGGCATGCTAGTAGCCGGTCTAAAGTATTAATGCAGCCGCCTACTTAAGTATTTTAATGTAGCCACAGACTTTTGCTGTCCATGTAGGTTTACACAAAGCATTAATACTTGATTTTTCGCATTATCTGAAGATTGATTTTAAATGCACAAAGGAGTAGATATACATCTTAGGGTTATAGTGGTCAATGCCGAAAGTAACTTGCTTACAGACCTTTCTTTGGAACTTTGGGTAACGATTAGCCGGTTTATTCATATTTTTTATTCCGTSAACTTTATATTACATTCATATGGCATACATTTTAAAGTTGGCTTTATACATGGCTTTTAGAAGGATGCATAAACTAAGTTTGATACAAGCTGAGTGTTAACGAAATTCAATATAAAATGTTATCGCCATCTACTTTATGTTGTTCGTAGTTTTGTGTGTACCTTTTAAATTTTAAGAGTATTATTTGACATATTTTTGACGTTTAGCAGTTACCCACGCATTTGTAAAACTAGTTACACATTTAAAAGATTTGCATTCCTTTGGATTAGTGTGTGTGTGTGTGTGTGTGTGAAGATATGATGCTGAAAATGAATGTTGGTTTTCAAATTTTGATATGGTACGTATAATACATAAATTATACCCGCTTGTATAGGGTTTATAAACGAATAAAAATAGCAATGTTTTAATGACCCTTTCCTTGAATTATTGACAGGAAAAATAAGCAAAAATATTACTACTTCACTTATTCGTCTGACAAGCCTATAGCCACCACATGTCTTCAATTTGACAACAACATAATTTACAAATGTCTCTGCTAATACATATAAGCAAATCCATGTGTATGTACATGACAAAAAGGAAGGTGATGGGCAATAGACTCTTGACCAGCAGTAATGTCAACAGACGACCTAGTAGTGGAGTTGAGTTCGTTACACTCGTTTTCAAAGCGATTAAATTACTATTATTTACAAATTTTAATATGATTTAATAGCACAGCATTACATAATAAGTCAGGAACTCAAACCCGGATTGTTAAAATCACCAGCTTGTCACTACACTAGCAATAACATTTTATGACTGTCAGAAAGTTAAGGAAAAGGGAAAATTAACTTTATAAATATATGTCAGATTGATAGAGCTTCTATGATGAAGATAAAAAATTTCGTGCCATTGAATAGTCTTTAGAAATTTTGTTGACCTGTACATATAACAATCCAAGTATTGATTAAGTATTTGACATTGGAATACACTTTGTGTTTATCCGCTCTCCCTGCTTCGGCTTAATGCTAACCTGTTTTATAATATTACAGCATTGATGTAACTTATTCTATGAATACTTTTCCAGAAGTATTCGCTGCTCAACATATGGTCGGCTTAACGAAGCGCCTACCGAATTATATTACATATATATAGATAGTAGCTGGCATATAAATTGAAGGAATAAAATCGTCTTTGTACGTAAAACTTTTTTATCCACCTTTTTAAAAAAATTTAGGTATTTTAAAGTACACAGTTATTTCGCTTTGTCATGTTTTATTTATGATTATGTTATTRATTTTATGAATATTTGTATGATTACTGTCTTCACCCATCATTATACACATAGTAGCAATTAATATTAATAAAAACAATACAATTTTTTTCATTAAAAAGATGTGGCCTTTTTATTTACGAGGAACTTGCGTTGAATCGCCACACTTTAACGGYAGTGGCACCTGCTAATAGTAAACCGCTACCAGCTATTATTTCGCATTTTAAAGAATGCACTTTTCAAGCTTCTGAATTTATGTCAATTGTTTCTCTATTAACCAATGTTTGCAAAGCTCTGAGTTATTTTTATTGTTATTTTCAGTCTTTTAATTACGCACAAAGCAATGCAATTGCTTTTTTTTTTCAATTTGTTAACTTTAAATACCTACCACCATCCACTTCCTATTTGCCCATTCAGGTTCTTCCTCATTCCAAAATGTCAGCATGTAGTCGCTTTGTTTTGCGTAGGTTTTGGCGGTGGCTCGGCCTAGCCTCGAGTTGGCTGACGGACGGTAAAGTTCATTGTTCGCTTGATATTGCTCGTGAAAGTGCTGACGCATACTTCGGCTGTTGGTGATGTGCTCATTTTGTTTTTGTATCTATTTATGTTTGTTAGATTTTTGTTTTTAGAAGAAAAAAAAAACGCCGAACGTTGCATGTTGGCCACTGCTGCATTCGACTGTAGTAGGCAACATTGGGAGAATTCGGTTCGCAAGCGACATGTGTTGCTGTGCTGTGATAAGTATGCTGTATGCAGCATTAAGCATTCTCAAGCAGCTCGCCCAATCGTGCACGTACAGCGGTTGTATGAAACTCTGCATTTCTAAATCTTAAAATTAAATATTTTACCATTTGTCTAGGTTTTTTTTGCGTCTTCGGTGAGTTTAAAATAGACGGGTGCAACTAAGTCCGCGTAGCATGTCAATGCAACAATAATTTTATTGTCATTCAAGAACAGTCGGAGAGTCGGAAAGCAATATTTAGCAATTTTGTAACTGTTTCGCTCTAATATAGGGTCGAATTTTTTCTATTAATTTTTCTTGGGTCGAAATAAATATAAGTAATTAAAAGCAGCTGTGTTTGCTTGTTATAAATCTTATAATTGACGACTATAAATATATATAATTTTAATATGCGGGTATATCTTGTACAAGCTTGCATCCAAATATAGTTAAATTGAGTTTTTAACATTAAGTTTCAGTTTCGATGAACATCTGTTGCTTGCTTCTACTGTGCGCCAAAATAACATGAGTTCATAGTACGCACGCGCAAGTTATGCTTCACTTATTATCTTAACAATTAAGTTTAATGTGGGAGCAATTAGTATCGTTAGTAAAAATATTTATATAAATATATACATACATATATCGTGGCGCCATCACCGTCTCCACCCATAATCCAAAAACAAATTGTAAAATGAAATATAAAGTCATATAAATTACAAATCGTTTACAAATATCGCTGTTAAAGATCTTTAACATGGCGATAWTATAAATTAGTTCAACTATTCGCTCTGCTTCGCTTCATCTAAAAAAGTCAACTGCAACTTTAACCAAAATCTTGCCTTCGGTTGCGGTTTTGGGCCTGGCTGCTTTTTCTAMAATATTCCACAATATATATATCATACAATATATGTGTACATACAATCATACTTGTAAAAATGCTTATGCTTTATTTTTGTTTCATACGTTTTAAGGCAGTGATTGGTAGGGAGTGAGAGCAAGACGTCAACGGAAAGAAGATTAAGTGAAAGAACACCATATCAGCCAGTTGGTCTATACATCAGTCAAGTCATAAGGACAGAGAAGAGCGGACACTTCATTTAGTTGCAGCCGGCTGTTGTGTGTGCAGTAAAGCAGAAATAAATAAATAAGGAAAGTAATAATTGTAACAATACAAAAATGGCAGTCAACGTGTACTCCACAAATGTGACTACCGAAAATTTATCCAGACATGATATGCTCGCTTGGGTAAATGATTGCCTGCAAGCGCAATTTGGTAAAATTGAAGAGCTCTGCACTGGTGAGTTAGTTCTTGTAGTTTTGTATGAAATCATTAATCGAACTATTTGTTTTTTTTTTCTAATTCAGGCGCTGCTTATTGCCAGTTCATGGATATGTTGTTCCCAGGCTCGGTGCCAATGAAAAGAGTCAAGTTCCGTACAAATTTAGAACACGAATATATTCAGAATTTTAAAATCTTGCAAGCATCTTTTAAAAAGATGGCAGTTGATAAGGTAATAATGCTTCCGATTGTTATTTTACTGATATGACATTTATTTATATTCGTCTCTCAATATATTATTGGTATTATTAATATTTTAATCTCTTACTATAATTTTTTTTATTTATGAGATATTTTATTCTTTGAGCGTTTAACAAAGTAGTGTAGCAGTGTGTTGAAAACTTTTTTATTTTATTTTTTTACATGCGAATATGATAAGCGAATGATATTTGGAAAAGMAAGTCTGTTAAAGAAATGATTTTATTTATACAATAAGAAATGCAAAAATTAGAAGAAAACAGAATTTTGCAGAATATATTTGGGGTATAAAAAGCGTTAATAAACGTGAAAAATATAAAAATAAGAAAATTTGATAAGAGAAAATAATATATTACCCTTATTCACGATGCGTTGCATTTGGTTTTATATGTTTATTCATTATACATTGAAAAAAGAAAACGTCGGAGAACCTAAAAAATATAAGAATACTAAATGGTCAGCGTGATGAGCTGAGTCGTTTTAGCGATGTACGTCCGCCTGTCTGTCCGTTTGTATATACGCGATCGATTACGTTATCGATTTGGAATTTTGCACACGTCCTTTTCTTCTCAAGAAACTGCTCATCTGTTGTACAAATTGTCCGATCAAAATCAAGTTCTTGTATGTACTTTTTTATTGGGCAAGAAATCTTCACAAAATTTCGCATGGATTATTGTCCAAAGYGGTACAATCTCCAAACATATTGTTCAGATCGGACCACTACAGCATATACATACTTATGTTGCTGTCATACTGACCGATCAAAATCTAGTTCTTGCAAAGAAAATTTGAGCTTTTGAAGGGTGCTTCGGTGCAGTTGAAGTTATCATTTTTCCTGTTATATTTTATTTTTAATTTTGTACTTAAAATAAACTGCATTTACTCCACATATGAAATCTGGTATGCGATAGGCCTTCATCGCACATTTAGAATCTTGAGAAATGTAAACAAGATCAGCTGTTTTATAAATATAAATTAAAAAAGCATTGCATCGTTAATTTGACAACTGACTTATTCGGAAATAGCGGCTATCCGACTTTATGGTTACATATGGGTAAAAATAAATTTATTGATTTTAGAGGGGAAATGATGCATTAAATATCAATTACTTATTCTTGAATCAGCTTAATGCTGAATAAATTTCTTGAACAATAATGTTGTGCATATTATTCTAAATAATTTCACATACAAATATTTCAATTGTGTCAATAATTTGTAGATAATACCAGTCGATAAGTTGATAAAAGGTCGTTTCCAAGATAATTTTGAATTTTTACAATGGTTTAAAAAATTCTTCGATGCAAATTATGATGGGCGCGAATATGAGCCGCTTATAGCTCGTAGCGGCGTCAAGCTGGGCAATGGCATTGGCGGTGGCGGCGGCGGCAGTAGTGGTCGAGGCAGTAGCAACGATTTACTCGAGAAGCGACCCATACAGATGCCAAATCGAACGCATGCGTTACCGGCTGTAACACAACGTACCGCTGTTAGGTCGGAACGCGTTGGAGGTGGGCAAGAAAAAAATCTTTTATTAGATAAAACTAAAGTGAGAGAAGAAGAGGCGAGACACAAGGAAAATATTTTAACCAGCACTCGCCTCCAAATTCTTTGCACTTCAAACAGAATTAAAACAATAAATAATTTTCAAAAATTATAAAACGTGAAGCACGAATATTTTTTGTGTATTGAAAATATAAAAAGCTGCTAAAATGAATGGAATATTTCAAATTTCAATTTCAATTGTAACCAAATTCAGCGCGCTCATCTATTTACACCAATTCGACACATTCATCTTACAAAGCCACCTTATGCGAAACGCACAGCATTGCACTGTATACTCATGCACGTACATACATACATACGTTGGCACATTAATGGAGGGCAGAGGTCGCCTTGAACTTTGTGAAGAATACGCGTGTGTGGAAATTACTCTGAGACAAAGCTTAACGCGACCTAGTGTAACTCAAGTCGACCTCTMGCATTCATTCAGCTAAGACCCAGGGGGCTTGTTTTATACATATGTAGTACATATTTAATTGTAACATTCCTTTTTTAGCTTGTTTGTCAGTTACATATGTTACCATATATTTTATTATACGAAAAAAGCGACATGACATTCGTTTTGTTTATTTTTTACTTATTTTTAAGTGAATTTTGTTGCTTTATAGATATCACCACATACATRCATACCAATAATACACATGTAAAATCACTGTGCGCACTACTCACCTTAAGTATATACATACATATGTAGTATATAARCGCCCGTCCTCACGCCGGCAGGTTTACCAGGTGACCCTCAACTAAATGCTTCAAATTTCGGCATTAGTTTAACTGGCGCWTTTGTATATTTGAGCACCTAAATAATAACATACGTACTTAGTGTATTTTTACGTCTAGTGTGGTGTGTTCGTATGCCTACTGTTGAGAATTTAAACTTGTATTTGTGATTTTTCCCCATAAGCGGGTTATTTCAGTTACTTTCTTTGTATTATTATTAATTTAGACTTATGTTTATGTTTCACTTTTTATGAAATTTTTATAGTACTATATACCTTTAACTTTACTTTTCAACTTTCAATTTTATCTTAATTATACACAAAATATATGCACTTGGAGTTGTGAGCGTAAAAGTGGTAGTAGTAGAAGCTGCTCGTACAGTAATGAGCTACCATGAGTTTAGGTGGAAGAAAATGCGCTATTACATATGGATAATTGASTTGAGTTTAATTAATGCTTTAAGCGGGAAATTATTTTTTATTACCAAAATTTTAATTTTTTATTTAATTTAAAAATAAATGCAGTTTTTGCATTTCTGTTTTGTTTGACGTTTGTTTTTATGCGTTTTTTTTTTTACAAGTACCATAGTCCAATTATCATAAAACTTGCCGGCAAATGAGGTGGAAACGCAGACCTGTTTCTGATTCGCTTACAATAGTCAATTTGGTGTCAATTTTCTTATAAAATAATTTTTTTTGTAAATAAAATTTCTTTGCAATATTGAGGCACATTCTCCGTTTTCTCTATTTATTTATTATTGTTACTACTGGCTAATACCATATTACACATTTCAATTTATTAAAAGTAAACTTTCATTCAACAATTACTCTTAATACCCGGAACATCGTATATTAATTTTACCACAATGTTTGCAAGACACAAAAGGAAATGTCCGAGACCCYATAAAATAATATCACTGATCAGCGTGACGTTCTGAGTCGGTTTAGTTATGTCTGTTTGATCGTCTGTTTTTGAGATATCGATCTGAAATTTTGCACACGTTCTTTTCTCCCCAAGAAGCTGTTTATTTGTCAGAACCGCTGATACGAGATCACTATAACATTTAGCTGACAAGGAAACTTAATGATCCAAGACATGTTAAAAGTTTTTTATTTAAAGAATATCTTCCCCATATATGGCTAGGATTATGGTCAGAGGAAAAGCTACAATTTTCGAACAAATTTTTCTCAACGATCAAAATCAAGTCCCTATATGGAAACGTTTTTTTTTTATAAATATGGCAAGGGTTATTATTCAAGGCAAGGCTACAATCTCCGAACTTTACATATATAACTTATAACTATTATACAAACTCAACTTAGACTCCTTATGCAAAACCTCTTTATGATACAAATTATCTTCACGAGCCAAAGATAACGGTACAATCATACAATACAGATTTGCATGTAGCCATATTGCCATATAAGCTGACCTATCAAAATCAAGTTTTTGTATGAAAACTTTTTTATTTGTGAAGAGTATTAACAGATAGCTTTGGTGCAAATGAAGTAAATGTTTTTTCTTGTTCTGGTATCAGCAAAGAAACTCAAATAATTCGCAGTAAACTTCAAAAAAGTTAGCAAAAGACGGTAGTCAGTAGCAGTTGCTGCTCTAATTACGCGACCTAACTCCTTGTGCTTATTTACTTTATTGTATAAGCAACATTTGATTACATCTATTGCAATAAATAATATATTTATAAATATTTACGAATTATAAATGTCTTTTATTTTACAATTTCTTAAYTTCTTTCACGTTTTCTTTTTAATTTTTTCATATTTTTATTTTATGGCTTTGTTATGTCTTTTCCTTTGCTCTTCTATTTGGTTATTTGTGTTTTTTTGTATATTCCATGTATTTTTTTTAGATAATCCCAATTGACAAACTGATCAAGGGCCGTTTTCAAGACAATTTCGAATTTTTACAATGGTTTAAAAAATTCTTCGATGCCAATTATGATGGCCGAGATTACGATGCCAGTGCTGCTAGAGACGGTGCTCCAATGGGTTTTGGTTCGGGTGTGGTGAAGGCTTTGCCTGGCACCKGTGGCGGTTCGTTATCTTCTCGTAAGCCAGTGGCCATAGCACCGCCGGCGCGTTCATCAACAACATCAACGACACGGCCCAGTATGTGGTGTTGCATTTTTAAATTGTATACAAAATTATGTCTTTTTTAAAAACGCTTAGTTATACCCAAAGAAATTCGCTCCAATCTCTATGTAGTCTCATGTATTTTTATATTTGCACATAGCTTGTATTTAATTTATTATCTTTGTATTATTATTTTCTATAAAAAAAATTATTTCGCTGTTTTTAAGTATTTATTGCTGTGTGTATAAATCTATCTATTTAATAATTGTTTGTCAAAACGATTTCTGATTTTACTAATTTTTTATTCTAGCAACTAATTTTGTAATTTTGTTTCGAATTACTTAACCAAGTGTTCATGAAAAAATCCATTATTCATTGCTTCGTAGATTTAGTTATGTTTCATTTAACAAAATTGAAAGCACAACTTTTTCAAAAAACATTTTCACAAACAAAATCCATATTGTTAAAAATACAATTTTCAAATATTTCCCTTAAAAATAGATGTGTACGTGCTTCACGTTTGTTGAATTTCCCTTGTAAATTATGAATTTTAACCTAACTTATTATATATGTTTTTATACTGGTATATGTTTGCTGATATTGCTAATTTTTATATTACGCTATTTCAAACAACGCGCATGCGCAGTTTCCAAAGTACCACCTCGCGCCGCAGCACCAGTTGTAACTAAGTCAGCTGCCGTGAATAATACCACCGGTGCAGTTAAAAAGTCCGGCGACTCATCCAATGCGGTGTCGAACCAACAGATCGAGGAGTTGTCCAATCAGGCAAGAWTTTTATCTTATCACATAGGAAATTTGAAAATAGAATATATAACGTTTTTTGTTAAATTTTTCGCAGGTCATGGATATGCGTTTGAATTTGGAAGGTTTGGAGAAAGAGCGAGATTTCTATTTCTCAAAATTGCGTGACATAGAAATACTGTAAGTGTACTGAAATTGTATAAAATTGAGGTAATGAGATAAGCGTTTTGTGTTTCCCACACTCCAAGTGCTTTAAAAAAAATCTATAATATTACAAAGGAACACAGGTTTAATTTTATACTTGGATTTAATTAAATATCAAAGCATGAGACCAGGGGTGCAAATTTTGTAATTTCAAAAATGTTGAATGAAAAATTATATTTCAAATTTTTTTTTCTGATATTCATTTGAATTTTAATATTAAACTGAAAACTTCTAGGCTTAAAAGTACAAAAATAATTTTTTTAAATTAAAAGTTTAACTGAAAAGGCACAAGAAAGGAAATATTTACATATTTCCGACTTGAATTAATATTAATGACATTAATTTCTTTTTAGTTTTATTATACATATGTATATCAATTTTCATTTTCAAAAGAACCAAAAAAAAAGAACCAAAGAGATAAAACAGGAAATATGTATGCCAAAAAATGTCAATTCGAAAGTAATTTTTTTTGAGATTAAAAATTAAAATGTTTTCCCAGTGTTTGGGTTTAACAGTTTAAAAACTATTTTAAATTAACAACTATTTTCAGGATTACAAAAAAGACAACACTGAATCAGGAATATGCCTATTTTAATTTTGAAGCATCGTTTTMATTTTTTATATTTGTGCTTCTCAAAAAAAATTTTTATTGGCTGTATGTTATTAATTGTTCCTTTTATATAGTAGCTTACCTCATAAAATCAAGACTATACGCTCAAAGAAAGCTATTTATGAATTTCAATTTTTTGTTTTGGTTTTTTTTGTTTTTTGAATAAAAGTATATAAATACAACTAACGCTTATCTATTGTCTCAAATGCAAATATTTACAAATTAATTTTTGATATTTTAAAATATTTTTCTGTTTTCATGAATTTTTTCAACAGCTGCCAAGAAGCAGCAGAAGGTGACCCGCATCCTTTAATACAAAAGATTTTGGATATTATGTATGCGACCGAGGTAAAGCGCAACACTTCTGTATGTGTAATTTCATTTGTATATTTCTTTTTTCACCCCGAAAAAAATTCCCCACAGCAAAATTTTTATTTTTTTGTATAAACTACAAATGCCAATTTGAAAAGTAAAAAAAGGTTAAATAATAACTAAAATCAAGTTTAATTATAGTTTTAGCAAAGATAGCTATTTTTTAATTTTGATTAAACTTTTATCGGCTGAAGTTATTTATAATGCTACTAAAAACCATTAACAGTTTTAAAATTATTATTTTTAAATATTGATTTTATATTACTTGTTTTTTTTTTTTTAAACCTCAATTTCTGATATTACATAATGCAAATGCTTATTTTATGATGAATGATTAGCCAAATTATTGTTGTCATTAKATTTGTTTACACTATTATATTTTACGCGGTGAATTGGCATTTTCTTATTGTTAAATATTTTCTAATACTAACACCATTTGGCAAGTCGTCTTAACMGCCAATGACGCACTTTTACTCAATATAATTTCATAACGCTCTTTTTTCTTTTTTTCTTTCCTTATTATCCTCAACACACTGAAAACAACAACAATCACATCACTGTTCGCTGTTAATTGGCCATAAAAACGGTGCATTTGAATTGAAAATATCAAATATCATCATCATACACACCACCACCTGACACCCGCATTATTCGACAACCTCCAATAATTGGAAAACAAAAACAAAAAATATATATATCCGTCATACACACCGCGCGTATATATTTGTGTATGTTTGCACCGCTCCACGACGCTGCATCATCAATGTATATAAATTTGCTGTGTGTATGTGTGTGCGTGCATTAACATTCTCTTCTGTTTGTTCAACCATACATCATTTACATAATGCTCTGTAAATTCAAAAACACTACACAACCGAACACTACTACTACACCTTGACAGGATGGTTTTGCGCCTCCGGATGAAATTCCGCCCGAGGATGAGGAGTATTAAAAGCAACAACTCGCAAGGAGGATTGATTACAGAACTGCAAATAAACAGAAACTGAGAAACAAATGTTTATATTACACAAAAAAGAAAAAAAACAAGATTTAAAAAATACAAGAATTTAAGCATAATAAACTATGTTAAACATGATGGATAAATGTTGAAAATATTGCTGTACTCAATGACAATTTAGAATGGAAAGTTTCGGCTACTACAGCTATAACACTCGAAACTGATGAAGAAGCAAACAGATAAGGCGAAGTATCTTTAATAAATAAATACATGAACAAACTGCTTAAATTACGATAATCTATAATATAAATACGAACAAAATCTAACGAAAATAAACGATATTAATATTTGAACATAAAACGTTCATAAAAATAAAACATTAAAGTTGTATGGGTGTATGCCTGTAAGTAGCGGCTTAGACGACAACATACGACGGACTGATTTTTTATAGTTTGTATGCGTTTGGAACTCCAGGTAGACACAATATGGATGATACAATGTAATTTCTGACTTTTCACTTAATGGGGGAGTAAAGGATATTYCATGTAAAACAAGCCTAATTTTTATGCTTTTTTTGTGAAACCGTTAAATTATATTTTTAAAACCCAAATCTTAAGAAATTCTTTTCAATTTGTATGGATCAATATTAAAATATACGCAATGCTAGCAATCACTCTGGAGCGACTCGGAAAAAAGTTGTATAGCCCTAATAGCTCGGTGTATCATCTGAATTAAAAAAAAATCAAATTCTATCGTTAGACAATCGCTGTGTGCAAGTAAAGCTGAGGGGTTTTCGAAATTCCGATTTTTGACTGTGTTTTTTTACTACTCGTAACGTAAATTTGCTACGATCAATTAGAAATTTAGATATTCTCATATTAGGTATTTATATAGGAATTCGAAAGAAAACAATTTAAAATGACTATTCGCTCTTAAGTGAGTTTCAGCAATCCTCTTTGTAGCCGCACAACGAAAGTGTGAGGAACTAGAGTTTACAACTTTGCGATTAATAATTTGGATTTGGAATATGTGAACATATAGAGTAGATGTAGATTTTATTATATATTATATCCCACTGAAAATGCTCAGCTTTCTTGCGAGCAATTGTTGGCTAGATTTAAAAGACATAATTCTTTTTAAATATTATATTGCTTCAATATTTAATTATTTTTTTGTATTTGCATTTTTTATCGCTGATTATAAAATAAACTGTCAACTCATCATTTACTTTTCGGCCAAGCTTAATAATTTCAAACTCATTAGACCAAATTTGTACATGTTTTCTTTTGTTGTGTGCGCTTTAGTTAGTTTGTGGAATAAACGAAATTTCGCAAAACAAATTTCAGTCACACAAATTTGGAGCCTAGAATTTTTGTTAGTTTACAAAAATCTCTTTTTTTCATCTTTTAAATCGTCAAATTCACCAGTGCATGTTTACTACATTCTCATGTTTACTATCTCACATAAACATTACATAATTATTTTTAATTTGTGCCGTTACGTTATTTTTGAAATAAAAACGAACCGTCTTCAAGTAGCTTATGCTTTTTATGATTTTAGTTTGTAAAATTAAATTGCAATTATTCCAAAACTCAGTAGAATTTGGAGATCTAAAATATCCATTTGCATTTATTATATTCTTGCAAAGGTATAAAAGATTTGCTCTTATGGTTATACGTATCACCAAAACCAAGAAATTAAAAAATGGAACTATAATTTACCACAAGAGATCGCATTAGCAGAGGTACCGGTGGGTAAAAAATATAAGTTATATGCTTACGAGAGGCTTAATTTAAAAAAAAACGTCAAATTTTGTTGAACAATTTGATTTTGATCGGGCGGTTTGTTTGGCAGCTATATGCTGTAATAATTCGATCTGAATAATTGCTTTGATCATTGTACCGTTGTCTTGGACATTAATTCATACCAAGCTTCGTGAAGAAAATAAAAAATTTCATTAGTTTCTTTAAATCAGCAGCTTCTTGAAGAGTATGCAAAATTGCAGATCGATGTCTCATACAAGGGGGGGAATAGTAATCAATGAAATACTCAATTTCGATTTTTTTGATCATACGTTATTTAGCATTTTAGGTGACGATATATTTAATTTATTCGAATTTTTCTTCCTTTGCTATTGTTCGCTTCTCAGCTCTTTCGTTTAATTTCGTTTTTTCAATAAATTTTATTTACGGCAGTGTCATTAATTAGTTGGAGGTGTTTGAAAACACATACAACTCACGCCCTTTTACAAAAGGATTTATTAAAAAAATAGTTTTGGTTTAATTCTTTTACTTCAGGTTTGAGCTTTTGGCAAAGCAAACGACGCTAATAAATAGCAAAAGCCACTACAATACGCAAATGGACCACCACATTGTGTTAGATTTTTGTGCAAACAAATTTTCGTTTGCTGATAATCGGTTCAAAGAAAAATTCAAGGATTACAGCGATTAAAATGAAATAAATAGTTAAATTGCTGGAAAAATGAATTAGTGTGAAATTAGATCAACATAATTTAGCAAATGTAACTTGGAGAATTATGAAGTGCTTGATACAAATATTTATTATGGGTTCACAATGCTGCGATGATTAGAKTTGGCATTTATATAATTTACTGTTAAATACATATGCTATATTGTTGCTGTTCATACACTTTTATGTCCCAGTTGTAATTACATTTATTAGCCTGCGAAAGTTGTAAAACTTTAAAGCGATTGCTATAACTAAGTTTTTCGGTCTTGGAATTGTTTAGGGAAATACATGTATCCTTTAATGACGTTAAAACATTAACGTACGGTTGGGTTTACATAACACTATATCCAAATAAAACGTTGTTTCCAATCTGCTGAAGACGTTTACTAATGAAACGAACCAAATCTATTTTATATAAATATTTACAYACATTTACTTATTGTAAAACGCTTTATAACGTCGATATGTATGCGAATTAATACATGTAAACATTTCAAAAGTATCCACAGGAACTACATAACCACAAGAATCTTCAGAATTGTGCGGTGAAAAATGTTAAAATTTTCGCATTCCTGTTACTTGCTTTGGTGAATATCACCAAAAAAGTTTTTTTTTAATATTACGTTAAACATTTGTGAAAGTTACTTTAATAAAATAGACATATTAAAGCTCGCATATCAGATTTTTTCACCAACACAATATTATACACTTTTTAAGCGTTGGTAAAATATGTAAATAAAATATATCAATATGTAATAATATTGGACTACAGCATACGGCATATAAAAAATATAAAAGAGAAATATATATATATCAATCTGTTGCTTGTATTAAAAACGAATTTCAATAATATTTTTTATTGACTTGGAACATTAGCAGTTATTTAAACAATAAACGTCTGAAATGCATACACTTTATCAAATGTGGATATTTCTTAAACAAGTACAGAGATGGTTTGTGCTATTTCCCCTCCAGTTTAACGTACAGCAGCTTGAATATCAGGTTGCTTGTGTGTGCCATCACAGAAGGGACGATGCTTCGTTTGCTTACAATTGCACAGCCAGTAGTCGCCCGTTTTTTCCACTTGAAATCTTACAGGTCTGCGGAATACATATTTTATGTTATTTTTAATTATCTACAGCTCAGGAAGTGTGCACTAACCTTAATTTTATTTTTAAGAATTCATTTTTGTGCATTCCGTCACAAATAGGCTGGCTTTTCGATTTTCCACACAAACACCAGCTGTAAATTTTATCTGTAAAATTGAGAAGTGTGAAAATATTATTAAAGCAGACTTGTTTTAAAGGAGGATTGGGGATTTAAATTTATTTGTATTAAATGAAAGTACTATTCTCTGTACTATACGAATAAACCCCTTTAAGAAATTCATATATTAACTTACTTGCTTCTAGGTGTATTTTAAATGGTTTCTTATCGAAAATTGCACCATTTTCGGGTTGCAGATGAGAAGTTTGACTACCCTCGAGTAAGTTTTTGGGAATTGTTTTAACTTCCGTACTACTTGCTGGATCTGACGACTTTGAAGAAGAGTACATCCGGTGCTGTAAACAGATACATACATTTTTATAACGGTATAAAGAAAAGAATGAAATAGAGAATAATTGAAACAAAACACTTGGTTGGCAATTATTGGTGAACATTTTCTTCTCTAATTGTTTAACTWTTTTAAGTAAGAATAGGTTAGCTACCCAAAGTGAAAGGCAATACATTAGTTATTGCTGAAGAACATTTTATGCTTTACTATATCTCTACATTTTAATACCACCCTAAATTAGATATTAGCTTACCATTAAAACCCTTTGAGTACGCACACCTCTTATAAACAACGACATTTTGCTAATTAAACTAAAAGAATATCCCTTTCACTAAACTAACTTCAAATTGTTTTATAACCCATTCTGTTTTAGCTTTTGACAGCTTAGTGATTTTACAGCTGATTGCTTTAAATGCCACTTAGTTACAGAAATACATATTTTATTAACATTTTTCGGAGTTTTCGGAATAATGTGATTTGTGATTTATGTAAAGTTATCGCAAATTTTATTTAAATTTTTTATAAATATTATTAAACTACGAWTTCAAAAAAGAAACTTTTATTACAACTAAAGAAGTAAAATTCGAACATTTTAAAATATTATTTGGTCTCTCTATTCCTTTTCCAAATATGGTACCTTCCTAAACCTCCAAAGCCAGCTGTTTTTGACAATTTAGCGCCAAAACAAAACACAAACTGCCTTTGGCGCCGGATGCGGCGAATTGGCAAAGAGAGTCGTATTGTATATGAGAGGTAGTGAGCTTTTATTTTTAAACAAAAATGATGTGCCTAATAACGATCACCGTTTGCTCCAACACATAGGGAGCACTACCGGTCCAGTAGATCGTTAGCCGTGGTATTGTGTCGTTGGGTGATAATCGCGACGGTTTCGGCGCTAATATATAAATATAACTTTATACGACGTTACAGCAAAAATTCACCTGAAGCATATATATTATGCTAATATTATATATAGTCACAAATAGTTAGACATTTTTTTTTTTACTAGTTAATATAACTTAACTGCCTACTTTTATTTAAAAATATAATAAGAAGAATAATAATTAGTGCAAAAAAGTGAGAGAGAATTGGTAGAACAGGTGCGGTTAATAGAAAGGAAAGGGGTGCGGTGAAAAATGTCCGGTGACGTGCAGCCGCGTAAGCGAAAGGATAAGAAAAAGAAACGTGGTGAGTTCACACAGCTGATCAGCAACGAACATTTAAACGGCTATAAAATTATCATAAAAGAATAATTATTTATAATTATTTTAATATGCATTAAACTTTTTGAAAAAAGGGCCAATGTACTATATGTAATTTCGTGGGTGACATACTTTTTGCTCTTTGTGCCCA